AGCCATCAACGTTGGTCTGTCTGTGTCCCGTGTGGGTTCTGCTGCTCAGACCAGGGCTATGAAGCAGGTAAGTGTGAAACTGCTGCTCCTCCTCGTGCTGGAGGTAATTAATGGGTAGGCATTACAATCCATTTGATTCCGAAGATCTGTGAACAGGGAGGGAATAAAGCTTTGGATTCCTTAGCGTTACGAAATTATAAAAGGACCAGCTTTGGAGAACTCTTTGCTGTTTCTCTTGCCTGCTGAGAGAGGTGGGGGAGAAAGGAAAATCGTATCTATATAAAGATGTAGGATTAAGTTTTGGTATGCTGAAGTGGGTACTATCAAGTAGAAATAGAGAATGCTCACTTAACCCCGAGCGTTTGTACAGGCATGGAATTAGAGGGGTTTAATATGAACTGTTCCCATATTAGGGAGAAATAGCATGCTTATGTTACAAGGTGGGATTTTTAGAAATGTGTACGATCTACCAGTGTTTGTAGTCACCTGTCTGGTACGCAGGGCAGAGCTGACTGCTGACAGCTGTCAGCTGCAGATAACCTGCAGACTCTGCAACACCCCTAGAGGTGACCCTGCAGGGTCTGACCTGTGCCCTGTGCCGCAGGTGGCCGGTACCATGAAGCTGGAGCTGGCTCAGTACCGAGAGGTCGCCGCCTTCGCCCAGTTTGGCTCTGACCTGGACGCCGCCACGCAGCAGCTGCTGAACCGCGGGGTGCGCCTGACGGAGCTGCTCAAGCAGGGCCAGTACGGTGAGTGTCTGTGTTCCTGTTGGTGCTGTGTGCCGCAGTGACTGTGCTCATTCTGCGCACAGGGTAAATGCAGGCTCGCTTGAACCAGGCCGTCCATGCACAGCTGGTCTTCCAAGGGCTCTGTGTAGTTGTGATGTGTCCTGTTGTCAGAGTTCTGATGGAATGAGTGCTCTCTTCCTTGCAGTTCCCATGGCTATTGAGGAACAGGTTGCAGTCATCTATGCTGGTGTAAGAGGTCACTTGGACAAGCTGGAGCCCAGCAAGATCACTAAATTTGAGAGTGCTTTCCTCGCCCATGTACTGAGCCAGCACCAGGCCCTCCTCTCCACGATCAGGTATGGGGGTCTACCATGCTTCATCCCCAGGGTATTGACTTAATGGCTGGAGTACAGAGTAATGGTCACTGAACTGTTAATTTAGTGTATCCTAGAACATCAGGCCTTCAGCTGCTTGTGCCAGAACTGGAGGTTAAATTAGCCTTCCTACCATCGACCTTCCTCAGATTGGTGTCTTCAGCTCCTAGGAAATGCAGCTTATGCTTAAAGTGAACCTACTTGCATGTGGCTCCTCTGATCTGTTCCTAAAGTCACTTGAGTCAGTGCCCATATTTCTGACAGCTTTATGCTGTGAGTTAAGTGCTGCTGAGTGGATTGTTGGGGACTGAGTATTTCCATAGTTCCATCCAGGGAACTGGTCCTGGCTTGGTTTGTCATGAGCCAAATCATGTGCCTTCTGTCTCTGAGGCACAGCTCTATAGAAGGTGGAGCATTGTTGGAATACATACGTCTGTTCTGAAAGTATTTGTGGACAGACTTCAGTTCTTGAACAAGACTAACATTTTTAGGAGAAGGGATGTTTTGTCAGTGGTACGGTGTCATACATCAAACAGAAATGTATTAAATCATCTACTAGTTTTGTTAGAAATGGGGAGGTTTGTTGTGAAGCTTCTGTCTTTGTCTCGGGTTGACTGTGTATCTGTTGCTGTGTCAGGAGTTTAACTGAACTCTTCCAACAGGACCGAAGGGAAGATCTCTGACCAGACAGAAGCGAAGTTGAAGGAGATAGTCACAAATTTCCTGGCTACTTTTGAGGCATAAACTCTTAAAACTGTTCAGAGACCAGGCGGTTGTGATCCAGTGCTCCAGCTCCATCAGTGACTAAAGTATGTGCGACTTGAATGTACAGATCTCAGTGAGAATAAAGGTTCCCTGTTCTGAACAAGTGCCTTCTGGCTGGCTGCTTGCATCTGTAGAACACAGAGCTGAACTCCCCTGGACATCAGGGGGCATCTTAACTGTTGGGTGAGCAAACTCCCCTGACATGGAGCAGGAGGGTGACAGAGCTGAGAGATGTTCTCAGGGTGTTCATCCTTGGTGCCAGGCAGCTTATCCTGGAGAAGGGCAGTGCAGCTGGGGAGGCACCTGTGCTGTCTTGTCACGAGGGTAATTTGCTGGACCTTGCAGGAATCTCTTTAACTGCCTGAAACTGTGACAGAGTATTTCTTGGAATTGCTGCCTGGTGACCCATCCTGGTGCCGGGCCTTTGGAAGACTGGTCCTTGTGTCTCAGGACAACTGCAGGTGTAGCTGTTACAGTAGTAACAGTTAGAGATTAAAATACTAGAATCCTACAGTAGTTCGGGTTGGAAGGGACCTTCAAGGCCATCTCATTCCACCCGCCTGCCATGGGCAGGGACACCTTCCACTAGCCCAGGTTGCTCCAAGCCCTGTCCAGCCTGGCCTTGAACACTTCAGGGATGGGGCAGCCACAGCTTCTCTGGGCAACCTGTGCCAGGGCCTCACCTCCCTCACAATAAAGAATTTCTTCCCAATATCCCATCTAATCCTACCCTCTGGCAGTGGGAAGCCATTCCCCCTGTCCTGTCACTCCAGACCTTTGTAAATAGTCTCTATCTTTTCTGTAAGTTCCCTTCAGGTACTGGAAGGCTGCAATTAGGTTAACCCGAAGCCGCCTCTTTTCCAGGCTCAACAATCCCAATTCTTTCAGCCTTTCCTTGTTATGAGAGGTTTTCCATCCTAGTAATTCGTGCCTCCTCTGGACTTGCTCCAACAGGTCCATGAAGAGCTGGAGCTCTTCCATTTCCTGACTGCTGTGTGAGGCACAGGATCCCAGTGTTGCACCGATCTGGGATGGGGGATAGTTCAAAGCCTCTCCATTTTGTGTGGTGTATTCAGTCTGGTACAGTGGAGCGTGGCCCTTAATCCTCGTGGAGCCTGCACACCCACTGTCCCCAGTTAACTTTCCTGCAGGGGAGCATCCTGCCTCCCAGTGCAAACAAGCAGCTGGAAGCATTCTCACACAGCTCCAGGCTAACAAACAGGCTCTGCTGTACTGGGGAAAAATTTTTAGTCCAGGAGTATCAGACACCTTTCTGGGAAGAGTTAGTGCTGTGCTCCAGGAGGAGGGATTTCTGTTTTGTTTATTCCGTGCACAGATCCAGAACAGGTGGCTCAGGGGCTTCACAGGCATGAGGGAATGTTGTGGAACCTTTTTATTCTGACCTGGCCAACATCATTTGTCACTTCCAGGATAAAGTTTACAGCTTGTGACTCTGTTCCTGCATGTTGGCTGAACGCTGGTTATCTCTTGGTGTTGCTGTGCCATCTTCTGCTGACGCAGCTGGAAAGCACCGAGCTCAGGGGTGCCCTAGTCCAAAACTGCACAGAGATGTATCTGTTTCTAGTAACATAAGAGAGAAATATTCCAAGGTTCTGGTTTCTGCCCTGTTGCTGCTGAGATGTAGGAAGGCGAGAACTTCCTCATGAAAGCACCGTGTGGTAAAAATGCACCAGTCGGGTCAGAGTGAAGGGTTTTGGAGGATGGGTCCCAGGTCCTGAGTGGTGCTATGGGCTGCCCTGGCCACGGGGTGGGGCTGGGAAGCTGGGAAATGGCCAGTGGATCACAGACTCACAGGGTGATTTGGTTGGAAAGGGACCTTAAGGATGATTGACATCCAAACCTCTGCCATGGGCAGGGACACCTTCCACTAGCCCAGGTTGCTCCAAGCTCTGTCCAGCCAGTCCTTGGACACTTCCAGGGATGGGGTAGCCACAGCTTCTCTGGGCAACCTGTGCCAGGGCCTCACGATCCTCACAAAGAAGAATTCCTTTCTGATATCGCATCTAACCCTGCCCTCTTGTCCCTCTAACCCCGCTGTTCCCCCTTGTCCTATCCCTCCATCCCTTGTTCCAAGTCCTTCTCCAGCTCTCCTGGAGCCCCTTTAGTTGCTTGGTGATGTGGATTCCTGGTGAGGGCTTGTGCTCTCTTCTGTCAGGAGCGTGCACAGGCTCAGTTTGCCTAAATCAGCCTCAGGTTACAACTGAGCGTTTTATTTCAGTAAGTGGAAAATGCCTCTTTTTGCGTTAGTGGACCGTTTTAGCTGTCCCTGTGTTCACGCAGAGGCAGCAGGTCAGGGCAGTGGATGTGATTCAGGCATTCCAGCACACTGTGTTCTACCTCCTATTTTCAAAGCACTGTTCAGAGGTCGCTCACGCAGTGCTTTGTCTCAGGCAGAGGCCCCCTTACAAACTGTGGGTAACACGGGATGGGTGTGGTGAAGGAGGGTTGTGTTTTATGAGGAGCGTCTGAGGGAGCTGGGGGGGCTCATCCTGGAGAAAAGGAGGCTCAGGGGGGACCTTCTGGCTCTGCAACTCCCTGACAGGAGGGGGGAGCCAGGGGGGTCGTGCTCTGCTGCCAGGGAACAAGGGACAGGATGAGAGGAAACGGCCTCAAGCTGTGCCAGAGGACATTGTTTAGGTTGGATATTAGGGAAAATTTCTTGACCAAGAGGGTTGTCTATCCCCGGCAGAGGCTGCGTAAGGCAGGTGGAGTCCCCATCCCTGGAGGGATTTAAAAGCTGTGTGGATGTGCCACCTGGGGACAAGAGTCAGTGGTGGGCTTGTCAGTGCTGGGGGAATGGTTGGACTCGATGGTCTTTGGAGAGCTTTCCCAACCTAAATAATTCTGTGGTTCCATGAAACCATCCCAGAACACTCCGCCAACCCCAAGCCGGGCGGGCAGGGCACTGCGGGTCGCGCGGTGCTCCTGCTGCGCCCCGTGTTTCCTCCGCGAAGCCGCGCGGGTCCCTGGTCCGGCCGTCACGGGTGGGCTTCTCCCACGGAGCGCTGACGCCGAGCTCCCTTCCCCGCCGATATAACCCAGCACGTCCCGCCGCCCGACCCACGGAGGGTGTTCCCGTGCGTGGGTGGGGACTCGCCGGGCAGGGCCGGGCGGCGCCGGGAGCGGCGGAGCGCGGCGGTGGCAGCGGCAGGATGCGGGAGGCGCGGTTCAGGGACCACTTCTGGGTGAGCAGGACCGGGGCACCGGGGTCAGGGCCAGCCGGAGCCGGGGGGCACAGCCGGGTCGCGGGGGTCACAGCTGGAGGTGGGGGGTCACCCCTCTTTGGTTAGAGTGGGCTCCAAAGCGATCGTGGTCGTGGGGTGACTTTGCTGAAAGCTCTGGGCATCCTGGAGTGATAAAACAGTGGCACAGGTTGCCCAGAGAAGCTGTGGCTGTCCCATCCCTGGAAGTGTTCAAGGCCAGGTTGGACAGGGCTTGGAGCAACTTGGGTTAGTGGAAGGTGTCCCTGCCTGTGATAGGGGTTGTTGGAACGAGATAGTCTTTAAGGTCCCTTCCAACCCAAACCATTCTGTGATTCTGTGATCCCCAGCAGGCACTGCCCACCCACACATGTCCTGGGAGTTGTGGCTTTGCAACCTGCTCCGTGCAGCCAAAATAATCCCAGCAAGCAGGCACTGCCATGCTGGAGGAAATCAATGCCAGTCCGAGGGTCTGATAACATTAACTGGCCATCAGTGAACTACTTGGAGACACTATAGCCAAAAATGGTCCTTTGATGTGGAGCTAATCCCAGACTGGATGTGCTGGTGCTCGGTGTGCTGCTGTCAGCTGCTGAGCCGCAGAGGAAAAGCCGCACTTTGGGGAAAACCACAATTTATTCTTCTGAGTGTGAATTGTGCTTTTCTGAAAGGAGAAGTGCAGAAAAGCCACATATCTGCTGTGAAGCGTCAGCTCTGTGGCCGCTCAGTTCCTCTTGTTGTGGTAGACCTTTGTTCCAGGTATCGGCAACCAGGAAGTAAATTACAAAATTGTGTCTTTTGGGGCTGAAAAACCCCATCTGTGAATGGTGCTCGGGGTTTCTCAGATGTTCCCTGGAAGCAGCTCCCATCTTGCAGGATGGGGGAGAGGAGCACAGGCCCCAGGAGGAGCAGACACCACGTTTGGAGCTCCTGTGTTTTGTGCAATAAATGCAGAGCACCAGTGTCATTAGTGTTTTAATTGGCATAGAGCTGTCAAATATGCAAATCCCACACAGGTATCAAACCTGGCACGGAGAATAAAGCCGACTTTGCAACTAGCAGCTGCTTCTCAGCTGTTTGTTGCCAAGAAGTTTTCCAAGGTGTGCTCTCTTTGCTTTGCAAATGTGCGGAGGGAAGGGATGCAAGGGTGGTGGCAGCTTCTGCCAGGCTGAGGGGAATAACTGTGATGCCAGGAGTGCTGAGCAGGGATGGTTTGTGGTGCCTCAGTGGCACATTGGGCTGAAGAAGATCTCCTTGCCACAGGGCTGACTTCGGCCATTTCTGCCTGGTTTGTCCCTCTCCAGCCATGGTGTGGAGCTTTTTGAAGGAGGATCCTGGAGGAGGGGGCTCAGTGGGAGAAAATACCAGGGCCAGAGTAGCACCAAACCCCCAAGTAAGGAGGGGATGGGGCATGCCATGGAGTACTCACTCCTACCTCACCCCTTCTGTTGCAAACATGGCTATTTACTGAATAATCCCCAACTCTTGCTGAGCCCAAAACCATTGGTACTGCCTGAGATTTTGCTTGGTTTCTTCCCTTCTAAGCCTCTGTGCTTCAATCACTCCCCCCACCCCCACCCCCTGGCCAAGGAAACGTGCCTGGGGCAGGAGCTGGGGTTCATGTTGGACAGGAGGGTGGTGAATGTGACTCAGTGGAGAGATCGAGGCCCTGCTGTGGTGGTTCGGCCCATGGAAAACGCAGGTACCACCCCCAGCAATCGCCACACCACGTACTGGTGACTGTGCATCAGCTGTGAGGGCTGGGGAGGGAGGGGGGAGCAAGAGATGGGAAATAAGAAACCACATTTAGATGAAGTGTGGAGGTCTGCGTGTCCAGCTTCCGTTTGCTGCTGGGTGCTGTGAGTCTGCACACACTTCCTCCTGCAATATTCCTCTTATATTACCTCGCTTGAGGCAAAAATGGAAGCAGAAGTCTTTGCTGCAGCAAGTGATTTCTTAGAATTATAGAACGGTTTCATTTGGAAGGGACCTTTAAAGGTCATCTAGTCCAATCCCCTTCCACCTTCCACTGTCCCAGGTTGCTCCAAGCCCCATCCAACCTGACCTTGAACACTTCCAGGGATGGGGCAGCCACAGCTTCTCTGGGCAACCTGTGCCAGGGCCTCCCCACCCTCCTCATGAAGAATTTCAACAATTTCTTCCTTCTATCAAATCTGAATCTCCCCTCTTTTAGTTTAAAACCATCATCCCTTGTCCTAGTGCTACAAAGAGCATGGTGAGGCACAACATTCATCTTGAGTAGGTTCTTGACCTGTCAAACAAGGTGAGATCAAGAGGACCATCTCTGCATGATCCTGGGCAGGTGGCAGATGCTGCCACACACACCCTGTTCCTTAATGGTGGTGCTGGCTCAGCTTCTTATCTGATGGTCCAACAAAATGTCTTTTTTTTTCCCCCCCAAATTAAACTCACCATCACACTCTACCTGCAGAAACCCTAAATACTGCTAAAAAAGCACTTTGCTCTGGTGAGGGGCAATTCTGTAGTGGTTAGGACAGCTCAATGAGAAAGCAAGACTTTGGCAGAGCTGCAGAGGAGGGGTGCCTCAACTGATGGGACAAAGTCTGAAAATAACCAAACCCTCCAAAGCTAGGCCAGTTTTGGTATTGGATCTTCCAGCTTTGGAATGTGACTGGTTGTGAGTGGTGACCACCGAATTTCTTTGTTGGGATAGTGAACTTTTGTTAGTTCTTTATTGTGAGGGTGGTGAGGCCCTGTCACAGGCTGCACAGAGAAGCTGTGGCTGCCCCATCCTTGGAAGTGTTCAAGGCCAGGTTGGACAAGGCTTGGAGCTAGTGGAAGGTGTCCCTGCCCATGGGAAACTAGATGGGTGGTTTTAAAGTCCCTTGAAACCCAAACCATCCTGGGATTCTATGACTCTATGATAAGCTGCAGCCCACCCTTTTCTCTGTCAGGGTAGCAGGGCTGTGCTTCCAGCCTCACCTGGGGACTGACTGAGCTTTAAACCACATCAGTTCTGGTTTCTTTGATGGATGCTGTGTGTGTTCCTGCACTGGAGCCTGGTCCCTGCTGGAGCTGACGACATGATGCCCATGATTTGGGAAGGCACAGGGCCACTTTGCTCTCTGCACTCGAGTTTGCTCATGCTCTTGGGTGTCAGCACAGGATGGTAAACTTCCTTAAATAACGAGTTTTGCTCTCTGCACCCTGCTGCAGCTCCTGCTCTCCCAGGGACTGAAGTCCAGACATGCCTGAAGCTGAACATGCATTGCCCTGAATGTCCCCACTCCCGTGTTGGTCCCTCCCACAACCTGTGCTTCCTGCATGTCTGTGAGAGAGCTGTGCAAAAACAAAAATACCCAAAAGCTCGTGTTTGTTTGCCCTTGCCTGGCCTGTAGTGATTGCCACACGTTGAGCAAGCATGAGGTTTTGTTTTCACTTGTTTTTGCAACCTGCTCTTCTTCTTTCACTATAGGAGGTCTTTTCTCACAGTTTTTTCCACTTTCTTAGTACACGTCTAGCTCTCCACAAGCCTGCTCTTCCACGTATTTCAGTTAACCCAAGAGCAAAGCTTTGGGTCTCATCAGAGCAATTTTGTCCTGTAAAACTGTGTAGCAAAAACAGAAATGACAATAACGCTAAAAACCACCTCAGTTCTGATCTGTGGGCTGACAGCTTGCAGCTTGGAGACTGAAATTTTGGTCATTTTGCTTTTACTGAGACAATGCTCTGCTCTCTGCAGTGTATTTAGTAGATGCTGCTAAAGCAACCCATGGCTGGGGAACTGCAACCCCAGGCTCCTGGATTTATTCCCTGGCTGCTGACTCATGGTGTGATGCTGGCTGGGCTGTTTCACTTCCCCTTTTCCCTTGTTGTCCTTCTCTAAACGGGGACTGGCTTGGTGGAACTAATCAGCAGCGTTATGAAACCCTCAGGTCGTCCTTTCAAAGGAACAAGGTGGGGTTTGTGGGGAGAGATAATTTCACGAAGGCGGGATAGTCCATTGCTGATGGAGTCTCTGGAATGAGCAGGAGAGGTGCATTGGTGTAGGGGAAGGAAACTTCAAAGGGAAAATTATTAATCAAAAAGTAATCCTGCTTTTTGCAGGGTGATGGTCTCAGGTGGGTGAATTTGCAGCGAGTCCTTTTCCTCCTCACGATGAGTTTTTGTCTCTCCTGTTGTGCCCACCTGGTTTTGGGGTGGGTAGGACCTGCAGCCTTGTGCAGCACCTCCTCACCCTGCTCCCTGCAGACACCAGCACAAGCATTTCTTTTTGTCTCAACCTCTGCAGGACCCTGAGCGATTTTGTGGCTATGCGGACTCTGAGCAAGGACAGCACAGCCAGCATGGTTGCACTGTGTTTCTGTCTGCTAAAATAGTCATCCAGCCTCTGGTGTGTTTCTCTAAGCATGTAAGGCTGAGGACATACACTGAGAGCTCAGCATAAATACATATCTTCCTAGAGATGGTCCATGAACAGTGTGTCCATTTGGGAAGGTTGGGACAGAGTGATGGAGGGCACAAAGTCTCTGCAGAGGGATCTGGGCAGGCTGGATCAGTGGGCTGAGGCCAACGGTGTGAGTTTCTACAAGACCAAGTGCCAGGTCCTGCCATTGTGTCTCAATAGATCCCTGCAGCTCCAGGCTGGGGCAGAGGGGCTGGAAAACTGGGAAGGGCCCTGTGGGTGTTGGTGGCAGTGGCTGGACCTAACCCAGCTGTGGTGTGGCAGCAGGGCCAAGGCAGTGCCCTCCCTGTGCTGGCACTGCTGAGGCACCTCCAGTGCTGGGGCAGTTCTGGGCCCTCAGACAAGAGAGACATTGAGGGGCTGGAGTGTGTGCAGGGAAGGGAACGGAGCTGGGGAAGGGTCTGGAGCAGCAGGAGTGGCTGAGGGAGCTGGGGGGGCTCATCCTGGAGAAAAGGAGGCTCAGGGGGGACCTTCTGGCTCTGCAACTCCCTGACAGGAGGGGGGGAGTCAGAGGGGGATTGGGCTCTGCTCCCAGAGAACAAGGGACAGGATGAGAAGAAACGGCCTCAAGCTGTGCCAGAGGACATTGTTTAGGTTGGATATTAGGGCAATTTCTTCACTGTAAGAGTTGTCCATCCCTGGCACAGGCTGCCCAGGGCAGTGGTGGAGTCCACATCCCTGGAGGGATTTAAAAGCCCTGTGGATGTGGCACTTGGGGACAAGGGTTAGTGGTGGCCTTGTTAGTGCTGGGGAAATGGTTGGACTCGATGGTCTTTGAGGGCTTTTGCAACTTACACAATTCTATAATTCTATGTTTCTCCAATGTCAATATTTCGTAGGGTGTGTGTCTGCAGGGGTTTTCCATGTAGAGTGGGGCAGAAGATGGAATTGTCAAGCTCAGCAACTTGTCTTTCAGCTGTGACTCAGCCATTTCATGTTTTCACATCCCCACTAGAGCATTTCAGCCCCTCTTTTGCCTGCAAGTGCAAACAAACCCCAAAACATTACAAGGAGCACTCAAAATCCTGCTCCTCATCAAGCCTGTTGGGAGGATGGTGCAAATCCAGGCAGCAGATCAGGAAGGGGGATGCACATCCTGTGGGCTTGGGAAACATCAGCTGCTGCTTTGTCACCTTGAAATCATCTGTTTGTAGTTTCCATGGGCTGTCCTGTAAATAGCACATGGGCTCAGAGCTCTGCCCAGCAGGAAGGACCAGGACAGCTGTGGGAGGGCAGGAGTAGAGATCCTTGTCCCTCTGCCCCACTTTGTTTTGGCAGGGCTAGGTGCAACCCCCACCCTCCATACCTGTCTTGGGCTTAGTCTGTTATGCTTTTAAATCTTCTGTGCCCGTGGCTCTGTGCTCTCCGTGTTGCACTTCCTCTTCCATTGCAGCAGCCAGCCCTCCCTTTGGGACATCCCATGGGCAGTCACAGAATCCCTGGATGGTTTGGGTTGGAAGGGGCCTTAAAGCTCATCCAGTTCCACCTCCCTGCCATGGGCAGGGGCACCTTTCACTAGAGAAGGTTGATCCAGGTCCCATCCAACCTGGCCTTGGACACTTCCAGGGATGGGGCAGCCACAGCTTCTCTGTGCAGCCTGTGCCAGGGCCTCAGCACCCTCACAGCCAAGAATTCCTTCCCAATATCCCATCTAACCCTGCCCTTTGGCAGTGGGAAGCCTTGTCCCCCTCGTCCTGTCCCTCCAGTCCCTTGTCCAAAGTCCCTCTCCAGCTCTCTTGGAGCCCTTTTAGGCCCTGGAAGGGGGTCTAAGGTCACCCTGGAGCCTTTTTTTCTCCCGGTGAACACCCCCAGTCATGCTGGTCCTTTTGATTCTCTCCGTACCAAACTTGTCCAGAAGGTGCTGTTAAGGCTGGTTTCACAGGATACAACCCTCCCCAGCTCCTTCAGAGTCAGGAGCTCCTCCTGCCTGGAAACAGCTCTTTTGGAAACCTCCCATGGAGGGATTTAAAAGACATGTGGATGTGGCACTTGAGAACATGGATGGGAACATACGTTGTTGCTGGACTGAGCTCTTCTTTTTTCTGAAAATCTTGTCCCATACATCGTTCTCATCCAGGAGTCTCTCCCACCCCTTAAAAAGAAAGATCTTATTTCATAAAGAGGCACTTGCACACTTGCTCTCCCTGAGCCGTTGCCTGAGCAAATGCCTCTGGAGGTGGCAGTGTCCATGGACTGCACTGATGAGGATGTGACTCCTGTGTTTTCAGAGCACGGATCTGACAAGCACCGTTGGCTACGACAGCATCATCCAACACCTGAACGATGGCAGGAAGAACTGCAAGGAGTTTGAAGACTTCCTGAAGGAAAGGTAGGGAGCTGCCTCTGATCACGGGTTGGGTTGAGCCTGGGAAGTGAGGCTGTGGCACTACTCCTACTCCTGGTACTCCCAGTTTGATTTCTGTTGTGTTTAACTGTCCACTATGTTAAAATGCTCTGCCATGAAGCTCACCTTGCTGTTCACCTTGCTGAAGATCAGGTGAGAACTTTGGCGTAGGAGAGGCAGGGCCTTGTCCTGAATTTGTCTTTGTACATTAAGAACAGCTCATAGATTTAATGCTAAAAAGAAGTAGCATTAGGTTTTGCCTTTATTAATCAGAGAATATGACTTAAGCAGAGGTTCTGTGGCTACAAAAACAACTGAGAGGGTCTGGCTTTATGGTTCACCTGGTTAGCAATGGCTAAATATGAAGAGCATTGTAGAACAACCCTGAATTAATGTAATTTTGGTAATGAGAACTGGAAAAAAACAACCTATGACTGGATGACTTGGTGCAGAGCAGCCTGAGGCAAACATAATGGGGGTGAACAGGAGGGGAACCTGCACTTAAAAGTGTCTAATGCACCTACATCTCTTTAGGCTATAATTTCATGTTCCAGGAAAATTTGGGCTTTCCAGCTGAGGAACTGGACCCTGAGAATCGTGTCCCCCTCATTTGTGACAAACGTGAGAGAGTGCCAAAAGCCTCCTCCACACCCTGTGTCCTCTTTGTTCTTGAAGTAGGTGTAGGTTGCCACCAATGTGTCTTTCCAGAAGGAGATTAGAGGCTGGACCTGGACTTGCTACTGGCACCTCTCTCTAAACATGGCTCAGTTCTCCGTGTACAGCAGGGCTGTTAACACAGTTCCAGCCATGGAGAACGTGCCTGTTGGATGCTTTGTCCCAAATGAAGTTCATGTGAATGTTGTTAGACAGAGGGGAAAAAAAAATCAATTTATGATATTTATCTTGTTCCCGTTTCTCTACAAGCTTTGGGAGCTTCTAAAGAGTTAAGCCGGGTGAACCTTCACTGCCAGACTCAAGAGTCGACAACACAGGTGTTTGCATCTGTGTTAGGAGATACAGGCATTTTAGGAAGCTATTTATTTTATCCAGTAGACCTTCTAATGCAGCTTTTAGCAGGACTTGTTTCTTTACACTGACTGCAGACAGTTAGGGTTGCCTAGGTTGAGATACCTACATTTGACCAAGCAAGTCCAGCCCTGGTTGTCTGTGCTGAACTTCAAAGCAGCTGCAGAAAGCTGGTTCTTGTACTGCAACACATAGACTCTCTTTCCCCCCTCTCATCCTTTCAAGAGGGGAGGACAAAAGGATCTCTCAAAGGTGATATTTCTGTTACCTCACAAGATTTGGCCTCTTCTTCAGGTGTTCTCCGTAAGGATCAGAGGCAGGTCCAGAGAGTACTTATTGTCTCATTCAAAAAAGCCCTGAAGGGCTGAAATGCCTGAGCTGAGCTTTGGGGTGCATGCCCAGTGGCCAAGCTGTCTTTGAGGTGCCCGCTCCCTTCCTGTCTCATTTGGTATAAATCAGCCAGGTCAGAGTCAAAAGTACTTAGTGTGGACAGACCGAGGGATCTCAAAAGCCCTGTTCCATAGGAAACTGAGGGGAAAAAACCTACCTAGGTGAGTCACCTGGCTGCATCTTCCAGCCAGGCACAGGCAGCTTAGTCCTCCATCACCTGTGGAGGTGATCCTTGAACCCATCAGCCCAGGGGAGATGGGCAGAGCAGCATATCGGGACCACAGACACAGCAAAGCCAAGTGTTTCCACTGGAAAACCTGGTTGGCACAGGTCAGGAGTTCAGAGCAGGTCTTGACCTCCACTGCTAACAAGTCTTAGTTTCTGAATTAGGAACTTTCTCTCACTCCTCTCTTTTCTCAACAGGGCAATTATAGAAGAAAAATATGGCAAAGAGCTCATCAACTTGTCGAAGAAGAAGCCCTGTGGGCAGACGGAGCTGAAGTAAGTTCACAATGCTGTGTGTGTTCTGCTTTTATGGGTGTCCATGGAACAAAGAAGGAGGAAGAGAAGGAAGGAGACTGTGAGAGACAAAACAGTGTTTTGAAATGTGATTGGGACGCCCAGAAGATGAGCTGAAACCATTCTCATGAATGAACAGTGCCCCAGCTGGGTACTGCTTTGCTTTGAGCCAGACTCCACCAAGTTCCCACCAGCCATAGACTAACCAAAGCATTGTGGATGCTCAGGTGAGGTGTGGACTGGTGGTTCAGCAGAAAGCCGAGGATCATGAGACCCAAGAGTTCACTCTTGACTGGTTTTGTAGCCAGGGGGAAGTACAGGTTGAGTCCAACCATGCAAATCTTCAAAGCCCGGCATGTTGTGACCACCGTGGCTCCATGAGTGGGTCTCCATTTCTCCAGTGACCCTCGGCACCTTCTGCTCCCTTTTTTTTTTCTCTACTTTATACATGCCGAGTCTGACATTCTCTGATCATTGTTTTTACAGTTTTGTGTCACATAAAATGTTTCTGAAATTAACAGGGAGAAAAGTTCTCTAAGTTTCCAACCACAGGCCAATGCACCATGTAGAAGGTGTTCGTGTGCCCAAAATTATGCTTCAGGAAGGTTGCCTGATACACTCATCATGAAACTTAGAATTTTGATAGCATCCAATGTTCAGAAAGATGTAAAGGAGATCTCAAAGCAAGCGAGCTGTGCTATACCTCAGAGAGAAAAAGCCAGAGGTATAAAGAGGGTAAATAAACCTACCTTGAGTTGCTTTGACTGTTTTGGGAGGGACTGTTTTGGGAGAGGTGCTCTGCTGATACTTGTGCCTGGCCATGTTTTTCCACTCTTTTCAATGCTCCTCCTGTGTTTTTCAGCACACTGAAGAGATCCCTGGATGTTTTCAAGCAACGTAAGTAATTCTTCATGCTTGTCAGGACACTTGGTTGTGCCAAAGCCTGAAGGCAACTTCTTAGGAAGAAAATGGCAGGGAAACCTCTAAAGTTGTGGTGATGGGGTCCGGCATAGGCTGTACTCCTGGACTGGCTCATCCCAGTGCATGGGGTTGGGACAAAGTGCTCCAGGGCACCCATGGGAGAGGAGACCCATAGGGTGTCCTTTTGGGGATCTCTTGGACTTTCAGGTCTGGCTGCAGCTCAGAGGTTGTGATTGTGTTGTGTATCAAAGCTGTGCATGGGAAGCTCACTTGGGGTTTATTGGATAGGCTTGTCCTCTTCACACACACACACACAGTAATTCACACTTTGAATCTTGGGGGCAGTTCTGGGCCCCTCAGACAAGAGAGACATTGAGGGGCTGGAGCGTGTGCAGGGAAGGGAACAGAACTGGGGAAGGGTCTGGAGCAGCAGAAGCAGCTGAGGGAGCTGGGGGGGCTCATCCTGGAGAAAAGGAGGCTCAGGGGGGACCTTCTGGCTCTGCAACTCCCTGACAGGAGGGGGGAACCAGGTGGGGTGTTGGGCTCTGCTCCCAGGGAGCAAGGGACATGATGAGAGGAAATGGCCTCAAGCTGTGCCAGGGGAAGTTTAGGTTGGATATTAGGGAAATTTCTTCACTGTAAGGATTGTCTATCCCAGGCACAGGCTGTCCAGGGCAGTGGTGGAGTCCCCATCCCTGGAAGGGTTTAAAAGCCATGTAATCGTGGCACTTGTTGACACTGGTTAGTGGTGGGCTTGGGAGGGCTGAGGGAATGCTTGGACTTGATGATCTTAAGTGGGCTTTTTCAGCCTAAATGGTTCAGTGGTTCTAATTGGAACATGTAAAAGATGATGCTTTGGCCACCATACACAGTCCCTTCATCTCCCTGTGTCACAGCCTGCCGGGGTACTGGGCAGACAGCACCTTAAAGGCAGACAGCACCTTAAAGGTGAGCACTCTGCTACCCTGTGCCTGCCAGCTTTGTCAGCTGCCCTTGTGGACATCCCTGACATGGCTCTGCCCTCACCACTGCTGACTATTCCAAGCTGTGGGTTTGGAACAGCTTTGGAATGTTGAATCACGAGCTGCCATTTGGCTCCGCTGCCTCGGTGACCCGGCTGGGGTGGCATTTCGTGGTGTGGCTGCTCACCTTCAGCAAGAGGAGCCTGAGATTTTTTTAGCCTTAGTTTTTCTGTGCCCCAAGTTGCTGCCTGCTGGCCTGGGGTAGTGCATCCTTCACTCAGCTGTGCCAGGGTGCGATGTGTTGAAACGCGCCCAAATTCACCCCCATGAGGGGGAGATGTGACTGTGCTTGTTTGAGTAACTTCTCTCAGCTGGAGTTTCCTCAGACTTGGGGGCAGGTCCCAGAAGGATTGGTCCTTACGTAGGTGAGCGCTGCTCCGAGGCTGCTTCAAACAACCTGCTGCTTTTTCATGTTTCTGAAAGGGGATGTGTGACGTGGGGCCAGTTTGATGTCAGTTGAATTGAGAAACACGGTCTCTTTAGGAATATGTATCTATATATATCTATATCTATCTATCTATCTATTTAAGTTATTTTTTCTTTGCAGAGATAGACAATGTGGGACAAGGTCACATCCAGCTGGCGCAAACCCTTCGGGAGGAAGCAAAGAAGATGGAGGACTTCAGGGAAAAGCAAAAACTGCATCGGAAAAAGGTCGGGTGCTGTGGGAAGACGTGCCTTCCCACAGGATGTTGATCCTGCCCCGGCAGTGGGCTAATCCCAGAGCTGTGTCCTGCTGTTCCCCAGCCCCCTCTGTGCCCCCCGTGCCTGCTGCTGCTGGGAAGTCCTGAGTTTCTTCCTACATGTTGCAACCATGTTGGTGAACTGTGCAGCAACCTCCAACTTCCTTCTTCTCATCGCCACATCCTCTCCTTTGGGTGGTTTTTGGGGCCAGCCACAGCAGGGGCTCAGTCCCGGGGATACCAGCCTCACCTTGGAATGGTTTGAAGCATTCATATACAGCACTGTATGATCTCCATAGGGTCTGATAAAATGGCCAAGTCTTTTAACTTTTTTCTTGAGATTCCTTTTTCTGGAAAATGAAGGAAACCAGGGGCTGGTTTGGACTAGCAGAGGGGAGTGGGCTTCCCAGCTTTGTCAGAGCCTGTGGAGATGACAGAGTACTATACATTGCTATATATTTAGTTTGTAGAGCTCCTTTGCATACACAAGTCAAGGCTTAGACAGAAGCATAAAAGATGAGTTTTGTGAAGATGCTTTGGGTGGATGAAGGTTCTTAAGCCCATCTCAGTCTGTTCTGTGACTCTTTCCCAAGCTGTGGTAGAGCTTTGATGGTCAGTGATGTGCTGATTCTGGGCCTGTTTTCTTCACAGATAGAGCTGATCATGGAGGCGATTCACAAAAACAGGAATGTGCAGTACAAGAAGACCATGGAGGTAAAGCAAACCTGCTGCTGTTTCTTGCCTTGTGGGTTAACACTGCTCAGTCACAAGCACAGAGCTGGGGCAGGCTTAAATGAGAGGGTTTTCCTCCTCTGCTGTGACACTGGATGCTGAGTCTGTGTGAGTGGTGTGCAGGGTGTGTTCAGGGCACACCAAGGACACAGAATCACAGAAACACAGAATATGCTGAGTTGAACGGGACCCACGAGGATCATCGAGTCCAGCCCTTAGCCCTGCACAGGACCATCCCCAAGAGTCACACCATGAGCCTCAGAGTATCATCCAAACACTGCTTGAGCTCTGTCAGCCTTGGTGCTGTGACTACTGCCCTGAGGAGCCTGTTCAGTGCCCAGCCACCCTCTGGGGCAAGAACCGGTTTCTAATATCCAACCTAAACCTTCCCTGACACAACTCCAGACCATTCCCTGGGGTCCTGTCACTGGTTGCTACAGAGAAGGCACGGCCAGTGGTAGCCTTTCAGGGCTGGATAAATGTGATTTAGAATGACAGAGTTGTTCAGGTTATAAAAACCCTTTAAGATCCTTGAGTCCAACCATTAACCAGCACTGCCAAGCCCACCACTAACCTATGTCCCAAAGTGCCATGTCCACACCCTTTTTGAGCACTTTAATGGATGATGACTGCACCACTGCCCAGGACAGCCTGTGCCAGGGCTTGACAACACTTTCTGTGAAGAAATTTTTCTGAATATTAAATCTAAACCTTGTCTGATAAAACTTGAGGTTGTTGCCTCTTGTCCTGTCCCTTGTTCCCTGGGAGCAGAGCCTGACCCCCACCCGGCTCCCCCCTCCTGTCAGGGAGTTGCAGAGCCAGAATGTTCCCCCTGAGGCTCCTTTTCTCCGGGCTGAGCCCCCCCGGCTCCCTCAGCTGCTTATCACCAGACTTGTGCTCCAGACCCTTCCCCACGCTCTCCTCTGGACACTCTCATGGACTTGGTTGCCATGAGCTTTCCATCTGTAAATGCCGCTTGTCTTGTGAGGCTTCCCCTAAGCCACAGGGCACCTGGGACCTTGTGTGCCACCCCCTGCTTCTCTGGCAGCCTGTGCCCACCTCTGCCCTCGTAGGCTGTTCTCTCCCCCAGAGCTCCCACCCGAGCTGTGTGCTGGTGTCTCTCCCAGGCCAAGCGTCTGTACGAGCAGCGGTGCCGGGACAAGGACGAGGCGGAACAGGCCGTGCACCGCAACGCAAACCTGGTGACGCAGAAGCAGCAGGAGAAGGTACAGAGAGGTGGGGCAGGGGGAGAAAGGGATGCCTCTTCTTGTCAGCTCTCCCGCCCCATGGCTCTTCTCCCAGCTCTGGGTTTTGGGGTGAGACAGGAGGGCTGGTGGTGTTCACCAGTGGGGCTGCAGCGCCCTCGGGGATGCACCCAGGCGCTCCTCCACCTTCCTTCTCTCTCCCATTTTTGGCAGCTGTTCGTGAAGCTGGCTCAGACAAAATCAGCTCTGGAGGACTCTGGTGAGTGGAAATGCCATGTTGGGAGGGCAAGGGACATGTTTCCAGGGGCAGGTGGTTGTGAAGCCATGGCATGGCTCGTGGGCAAGCTCCAGCTCTTGGATCAAGCACAGCTCCTCAGAAACACATGCCCAAGATACCAGCGATGGGCACCTGCCCTGGAGAAGCCTGCATGACACCACCAAGGCCATGTCCTTCCACTTTATCCTTGATGTCCTAGCCATTTCAGGCTTCACATATTACCTTCTAGTGAAGGGTATTTACATTAATGTTAATCATGGAATCAGTGAATGATTTGGGTTGGAAGGGGCCTTAAAAATCATCTCATTCCAACCCACCCTGCCCGCTGACCCTCAGCTGACACTGTGATTTCTCTTGCAGACAGGAGCTACCAGCAGAATGTGACCATGCTGGAGAAGGTCCGGGAAGAGTGGCAGATGGAGCACATCAAAGCTTGCGAGGTAAATGCCCCCAAACACCTTTGCATGGCAGTGTGGTCCTCTGGGTGTCCACCCCTGTCTGCAGGGCCCAGGGACGGCACAGATTTCCCTTCTGTGTATTCCCCTGGCAATGAAGCAGCAGGATGTGTTGCAGCTAACCCTGTGTGTGCCTAAAGCTTGGCTTCTTGATTCAAGGCCCCACTACTTCAAGGTTTCCACTATTTTTTAATTATTTTTATTTTTCCACCACCTTTTAAAATTGACAGAGTCAAGGTCATGACATTTTGCCCATTACCTACTTGCATGTTTGGCATGGCTGTCACTTTGAGCCATCCAGAGCTGCCACTCTGGATGACTCACCATCCAGAGCCATGGTTGCCTCTGGATACTCAGTGACTTGAGGCCAGTATGTCCTAGAGCCTCAGCAACACCTGGAAGACTCTGCCTGAAACTCTAAAAGACTTTCCATGGACAGGGACTGCAGAGACTGAGGTTCTATCCCAGGTTTGCAAACAGCCTTCCCATTCCCAGCTGTGCTGATTCCTTCCCAAGTTATTTCTGATCAGGGTGCGATTTTACTTTTCTGTTTTGAACTGGAATTTGCTGTCTCTGTTCTGTGGTGTGCGTGACTGCCTCAATGACGGTGTGCTTTTGGTGTCTGGGGTCTCTGGAAGCCTCTATGATGGGGACATTTCAAAAGGTATACCTGTATTCAGATTTCTGGTATGCCTGATTTCAAAAGGCTTGGGTTGAAACCTGCTTGGAAAAGGGCTGGGCAGGAAAGAGGGAGAAGGCCAACCAGTCAATGCACCTCTGATTTCATGCATCCCCACTGTTTATTTATTTCTCCATACCCGGAGCCTGGAAGTGTTAAAAAGACATGTAGGTGTGGTACTTGGGGCCATGGGTTAATGATCTCCTTGGCAGTGCTGGAGGATTGGTTGGACTTGATGATTTTAGGGGGCTTTTCCAACCTAAATGATTCTGTGATTCTAGGACACCTGTGGAAGGGAAGTGAGATGGGACCACAGGAGCGTGGGGTGCCTAGGGAACATGTACTGCCTTTAGGAATCTGGCTTGTTCTCCCCAGAGGTGCTGGGGGACCCCCTTCACATCGGTCCTGCAGACCTTCTGAGCTTAACAAACACTTAACACTCATCTGGGTGCACAAAGGGATAATTTCTCTTCTGGGCAATCTGGAGGATGCGCTGTTTCCTTGTTTCCTGCAGAGGACCAACACCATCTGCTCCTTGCAGTTGTCATTTCATGGCACCTGGCAACGAGAAGCAGTAAGGGTTAAGGAGATTTGCTCTCATTTCAAAGATGATGTGGCCGTTTTTGTCTTTTTTGTGTTGTTTCAGTTCTTTGAGACTCAGGAGTGTGATCGGATCAGCTATGTCCGTAACGCCCTCTGGCTCCACGTCAACCAGCTCTCCCTGGGCTGCGTCCAGAATGATGAGGTACCTCAACTGAAAGTCCTCGTTCTTCTGTGTGGAAAGCAGAGCTCAGTTTGTTTTCCTGTGCTCTGAGCTGTGTTATGTGTGAGTTGGACTGTGGCCCTTCGTTGGCCACCAGACATCAGCATGAGTGGGCAGGCAGAAGGTTTGGCCAAAACTCTGGCAGATGAGCTTTCCTCTAGGATTCACATATTTTTTGAGTGTGCTGAAACACTGGAACAGGTTTCCCAAAGAAGCTGTGGCTTGCCCCATCCCTGGAAGTGTTTGAGGCCAGGTTGGATGGGGCTTGGAGCAACCTGGTCTAGGGGTTCATGCCCCCCATGGCAGGGGGTGGAACAAGATGGGGGATGGGCTTTAAGGTCCCTTTGAGCCCAAACCACTCTAAGATTCTGTGACTGCCCTGTCACTGCAGCTTGTGCACTGGGTGAATTTTGGGATTTCTCCCCATGTCTAATAGACAGTTGGGAAAAACCCTCTTGTTTTTTGACCTGATGTAATAGAAATGCATTTTATTTCCCTTTTGCAGAAATATGAGGAAATCCGCAAGAGTTTAGAAATGTGCAGCATTGAGAAGGATGTTGATTTTTTTGTAAATTTGCGCAAGACTGGAAGTTTGGCTCCAGGTAAGATCTCAGTACAATCTCACAAAGTAGTGCTGACTGCCCTGTACTCCTCATGGAGCTGCTGCTCAGGTCAGCATCAGCTGGGGTGCAAAAAACATTGGTTTTGCAACATTCCTCCTTTAGTTCACTGCCATGCAGCACTAGTCTCTGCCAGTTTCAACAGTCCCTGAAGATAGCACTCCCCGTTTTAGTTTCCTGGTCAGGCATTTTCACAGAGAGGGGAAAGACATAGGAGCTGACCGCTGGTATGAGAAGTATTTAATGTCTATAAAAGGCCTGTACTTTACTACTGTTAACTTTTCCTAGCTCCTGTTGTTTATGAAAACTACTACAATACACAGAGAAATGTGACTCCTGCAAGAAGTCCAGTGCCTGTACCTATATCAAGGTAAGGGACATAACATGTACAATTGCAATTGCTATTGCAAGTGATGCTCTCCCCCTCCCTCCAAGAAAAAGGCATATTTTATTCCTTTTAGTCTATTGGAAGCTTGACTTGGGAGTATTAGAGGAAAATATTTCCTTGCATGGTTCTTGTTGTGATCTGTCCATCTGAGGAGTGCTAAAGGCATGTGTGGGGAGAGGGAGGAACTGCAGAGCTGAATTCACTCCCTTGGGACAGAAGCTAGGCTGGGAGGACAGGCTGAAGGGTGTTTCTGCCACGGGCCAAGGCAACAATGAGGGCCAAAGACTCGTGCTAAGGATGAGTGTGCCACTTTGGCTGCCACACTGGGAGAGGAGCCCTGTCCAATTATGGCTTCCTGATGTCTCACTCTGGGCAAAGGCATGTACAAAGGCATACCCTGAGGCTCACCTATGATTGTGATTTTTTTTCCCCCAGCTTAGTGATTTTTGGCTGCTTTTTCCTCTCCTGCACCATATCAGCTTCAATTCCTGTGTTTGCCAAGCAGGCTGTGGGTGGTGAGCCCACCATGTCTCTATAAAGCCCAGGTTGCCAAACCTCTTGCCTTCCCACCAGCTCTGGGAGGTCAGCTGGGAAGTGCAGAACCAGGGCAAAGGGAGTCCTGTATCCATGCAGATCCTCACCTCTGTGTTTCCTTTTGTGCAGGAGGGGACCTCTGCCCACCCCGACCAGTGCACCAGGTGAGTTATTGCTTTATGGGCTTTCTGGCCCCACAGAGGAACTATCACTCCAGGCCCTTGTCCCAGGTCCCTCTCCAGCTCTCCTAAAGCCCCTTTAGGCCCTGCAAGGGGTTCTCAGGTCTCCCTGGAGCCTTCTCTTCTCCAGGCTGAACATCCCCAGCTCTCCCAGCCTGTCTCCATAGGACACCTCTTTGAGACTCATTCACCCTTGCACCCCATCCCTTTAACATGGATGGCCAGTGTGTGAAGCCTTGTAATGAGCACTTCTCATGAGGAAACCTATTTTTTTTGTGCTCTCTGTTTCAGGGGAGCCTGATTACGCCACAGTTGATGGCTACAGCTTGGTACATTTCTAGCAGTCACAGTAAGTACTCACTTTTGATGAAGAAAGGGGGCTTATGGGAAAGAGGGAGAGGGATTTTTAACCTGGGCAGATAGTAACACAACAAAGGGGAATTTTAAACTAAATGAGGTTAGATTTAGGTTAGCTATAAGGAAGAACTTCTTCCCTGTGAGGATGGTGAGACCCTGGTACAAATTGCCCAGAGAAGCTGTGGCTGCCCCATCCCTTGGAAGTGTTCAAGGCCGGGTTGGATGGGGCTTGGAGCAACCTGGTCTAGTGGAAGGTGTCCCTGCCTATGCCAGGGGGGTGGAACGAGATGAGCTTTAAGGTCCCTTCCAACCAAAACCATGTTGCGAATCTGGACCTACCTGGAAGAGGGACAGTGGAGAAAGAAAGGCCACTGGTTAAAGGGTGATATTTGAGGGGGATCACTTCCAACTGGAAGTAATGCTCCTGCCCTGCCATCACTTCTCTGAGCTGGAGCTGTGGTTTAGACACTGTTGATCCTGTCCTGTAGGTTTTCCAGGCAGAAGACACTGTTGGTCTGACCAGCGTGGCACAGGTGGTGTTTCCCATTATTCCCAGACACTGAAGTGTCTGAAGTGCTTCTGCTTTTCAAAAACATATTTGAGGACTGATAATTATTTGTACATCCAGAAAGTGCCTACTAAAAAATCTGTGCCTTTGATCAGCAAACTTCTTGGATGGATATCCTATCTTCAAACTCAGAGGAAGAAAAGGACCAGACACAGGGGCGATTTGTGTCGGAAGAAGTGTTTGATTTGAAGTTCTTCTAAAGTGCAGCCACTGGGAGCGGCTGGAGCCTCCCACTCTCCAGATAACTAGCTCATATGTGCCAAAGGGAGTGCTGCATGATGCTTTGGGCACGCTGGCTTGTGTTCAGGGCACCTGCATCCCGCTCAGATGTCAGGTTACTCTTTCGCCTGTCTCTAAAGTTTCTCATTACTGGGGATGAAACTTGTAATTTAGGTTTAATTTTATTCTCATCTTTCGGGGATCTCACTTAGGGGAGCACCAACAGTTACACCGTGTGTCTGGCTTAGCTGTAGGTGTGCTCCAGGCTTAAGTGCCAACACTGGAATTTGATTTGTGTCTTGCCTGGTGCAGCAGTTCACAGCACGGCTGCCCAGTGAGGGGCTGTGCCACCAGAAACCTGCTGGGAGGTTCCACATCCCATGGTGTTGTTGAGGATCAGGAGGACATTGTTCAGATCTCCCAAATGCCTCTCCAATGAGGGGTTTGTGAGTTTCTAGGTTCATGGTACAGCTTGTCCCTGGAAGGCTCTGGGGACCAGGTTGGACGGGGCTTGGAGCAACCAGGTCTAGAGGAAAGTGTCTCTGCCCACAGCAAGGGGTTGGAACTAGATAGTCTTTAAGGTCCTTCCCAACCCAAACCATTCTACAGTTCTGTGATTCTATGATTTAATTAGCTTTTGACAATCTCTAAACTTTGGACTTGTTCTGACCATGCACCACTGGAAACAAACTTAGCTACTGCTGGAGCCATGAAACTTGTTTTCTGACCAGATCTCCTCAAACTTCCTGCCCTTTCTATTACCATATATATATATATATATGTATCTTATGATTATGACTTTGATTCAGAAGCTCACATGCTTCGGGGCTGCTGATCTCTCTGATGTCCCTGTGTGCAGTGCTGCTTGACCACTCCTCAGTGCCTTACGACACTGGACACAGGGACACAGGACATGGGGATAAACACACAATTTACCAGTCTAAACCCGGTGCCAGGTGACTGACCTGGAGCAGCAGGATTTGCTATTTGTATGACGTTTTTCCAGCTGAATCTGCACGGCTTCAGCGCGTGTCCCAGCCTGTCAGTCCTTGGGGCTTTTTACTGTGTTTTCTTGTGTGGGGAAGATGACAGTGAGCTCTGACATCTGCCCTCCTGCAAAGTGCACGTGCCAAGGAATCAGCTATCCTGTTTTATTTCTGAAAGACCAAGGACACAAGTATTATTCCGAAGGAGCCTGCTGTAGTCTTAGTTGTTTAAATACATATTTTAAAAAATAAATGTTGAGTCTCACGTGTTGGGTATGTGGGGTTTTTTTTAAAGATTGTCTTGTTCACTTTCTGTTGGGGCTGGGGTGGGACACCTTCAGAGCATATCCTCGCTCAGCCTTTTTTTCAGTCCTTGCTCAATACCAACACAGATGTGGCAGAAAACACCCCAAAAAAGACTGGCACAAGTACTTGCTATTAGGCATGCACAGCTGACCACGTAGGGCTGTTTGCCCTGGAAGCGTGTCTGCTCTGCAATACGTGGCATGGTTTCTTTATTGGGGCTTTTCTGCTGACTGAGCACAATAGTTGCTGTTAGGCTTTTCTGGATGCAGAGGTCCCCAGTGCACATTCATTAAATGCACAGAAGTGATACCAAAACAGGGGTGCTGGGGAAGGGTCTGGAGCAGCAGGAGTGGCTGAGGGAGCTGGGGTAGCTCATCCTGGAGAAAATGAAGTTCGGGGGGACCTTCTGGCTCTGCAACTCCCTGACAGGAGGGGGGAGCCAAGGGGGTGGTGTCGGGCTCTGCTCTCAGAGAAGAGGTGATAGGGTGAGTGGAAATGTCCTCAAGTTGTGCCAGGGGAGGTTTAGGTTAGATATTAGGGGAAATTTCTTCCCTGAAAGGGTTGTCAAGCTGTGGCACAGCTGTCCAGGGCAGTGGTGGAGTCCCCATCCCTGGATGGATTTAAAAGCTGTGTGGATGTGCCACTTGGGTTAGTGGTGGCCTTGGCAGTGCTGGGGGAATGGTTGGACTTGATGATCTTGGTGGTCTTTTACAACCTCATTGGCTAGGATTCCATGAAAACACCAAGTGTTCGCACAGACCTAGGCCAAGAAAACCCAGCTTTGAAGAGGAGTGGCCAGACATGGAGCTACTGGGAAACAAGTTTATGTGTCCATGGGTGCCAAAATGGCTTTTTGTCCTCATAAGCTCCCCTTCATCACCTTCCCTTGCCTCATGGCTTTCCAAGTGGTGCAGAAGACTTTAGCCTCCTCCCAGGCCCCTGTGGAGGAGCCCAGCCTGCCCCGGAGCCCTTTACTGAGGGTGAGATGACTCACAGGGGGGTCTGGTGTCTTCCAGACCCTGCAGGAGTGCCTGGCCTCCCTACAGACCCTGGTAACCAGTTGTGCAGTTCCTGCCTTCTCTCCTCAGGGTGCGAGAGACAACAAACGCCTTAGTAAGGCAACAGCTTTTATAAGACAGAATTAAGTGAATAGGACAAGGTGGAACAGCTTCCCACTGCTAGAGGGCAGGGCTAGATTGGGAAGGAATTCCTCCCTGTGAGGGTGGTGATGCCCTGGCACAGGTTGCCCAGAGAAGCTGTGGCTGCCCCATCCCTGGAAGTGCTCAAGGCCAGGCTGGATGGGGCTTGGAAGTGGAAGTTGTCCCTGCCCATGGCAGGACAATTGGAACTGGATGAGCTTTTAAGTCCCTTCCAACACAAACCACCCTGTGACTCTTTGACTTACACGGATTGCAAACAAATCTGACATCCTTCAGGTGCTGGGCACTCTGCCTGGAGGCAGAGTCGACAGATCTCTCTCCTTTTCTGATCCTGCAAGCTAATTCAGAAATTATCACAAGGAAACAGCTCTGTTTGTAAAGGAAGTTCCCATGAGGACTTCTTGCTGGATTTCCAGCTACAGACAAGGCCAGGAAGGTGGTCAGGATCAATGCATCCCCCCTATACCCACAGATATTACACATTCCAGGTTACACTAGTAATGCAGGGGCTTCTCAAGCCCCAAGTGCAGGATCCCACAGAGTGAACACTGCCTGTTCAAGGCCATTAAGTCGACTGTGATGTCGAGTGAACCTTGTGAGGGCTCATCCATCTGGGCACTGGGAGAAGTCACTCCTCCTCCCTGTGGAGCCTGGGCTCTGCTCCAGCCGTGGCTCTCTTGGGATGGCTGGGTGCCTGGGCTGGGATCTGAGAGGCAGCAGTTCCTGGCCCGGGGTTGAGCCAGCATTTCCACTGTGCTGGAGGTGCCTCAGGAGCTGAGACAGGTAGATCTCACACCTGCCATCCTCGCTAGTGGGGGTTTGGCTTCTCATCTCACATTCCTTTGGGCAGCAGCCTGGGCTCCTCCCAGCCCCTATGGAGGGTCTGTCGGTCTGTACAGGGGACCTTGGCCCTATAGTGGTGTGTGGGTCCAAATGGACAGTCTGTGTGTCCCTACTGTGGACCCTGACTTCCCCCAGACCCCTATGTAGGACCTGTGGCTCCTTACAGCAGACTCCAGCTCCCCTATGGAGAGTCTGTGGATTCCTTTAGTGGACCCTTCTCCCCTATGGGCAGTCTGTGAGTCGGTCCCATGAATGGTCTGTAGGCCCCCATGGACATTCCGTGGGTCCCTATAGCGCTCTGAGGGTCCCATGGATGGTCTGTGGGTCTCTATGGATGGTGGTTCCCTGTGGACAGTCTCTGGTTTCCTAGAGCACTTGGAGGGTCCCACAGTTGGTCTGTGGGCCTCTATGGGCTGTCTTTCCCCGTGGGCGGTGTGTGGGTCCCTACAGCACTCCGTGGGTCCCTATGGCAGTCTGCGGGTCCCTATAGTGCTCCGTGGGTTCCTGTGGACTGTGTTTCCCCATGGACCCCATGTGTGGGTCCCTACAGCACTCCGTGGGTCTCTGTGGCAGTCCGTGGGGCCCTACAGGGCTCTATGGGTCCTATGGACGCTTGTAGGTCCCTATGGCACTCCATGGGTCCCTACGGCAGTCTGTGGGTCCCTACAGGGCTCTATGGGTCCTATGGACGCTTGTAGGTCCCTATGGCACTCCGTGGGTCCCTACGGCAGTCTGTGGGTCCCTACAGCGCTCCGTGGGTCTCTGTGGCAGTCCGTGGATCCCTCTGGCAGTCCGTGGATCCCTAAAGGGCTCCGTGGGTCCCTATGGCAGTCCGTGGATCCCTACAGCGCTCCGTAGATCCCTCTGGCAGTCCGTGGATCGCCCTGCCAAACCGTGCGTGCCCACAGACACTCTGCGTAGCCCCTCTCCCCTCACGCCCGCCCCGCCCCCCTCGGGGCCCCGCCCCCTTTCCCGTACCGCTCTCCCATTGGCCGGTGCCCGCGGGGGCGTGTCCCGGGCCCGGTCCGGTGCGGGCGGAGCGCGGGTGCAGCGGGGCCATGGCCGAGGCCGTGCGGGCCCCGCGCCGCGCCCGCGGCCGCGCCAAGGTAACGGGGCACGGGGGGAAGGGGCGAGGGGGAGAGAGGGGGGGGACGGGGCGGTGAGGGGTGTCCCGCGGCGTCCACACGCCCTGCGGCCACCGGGGTGGGTCCCGCGCCCGGCGGTGTCCGCGCCAGGCCGTGTTTACATCCGTGTTCACATCCGTGTTCGCGCGGCCCCTGATGGTGGAGGAAGGGAGGTGGGTGGGTGGGTGGGGTGGAGGGGTGCGCGTGTGTGTGTTGGTGTGATGTTGTTGGTTGTCGTTTGCTGTTTGTGTTATAGAAAGGGTTTCTGCTGCTCTGCGCTCCTAGTAACGCGCGTTTGGAGTAGCCGGCGGTGTGTGATAGGCCCTGCGCTGTGGCAGGATGTAAACAGGGTGTTTACTCTGTTGTCCCGCGGCCTCCTCAGGTGTCCCGTGTCCTGTGGGGCGGCGGGGGGAATGGGCAGCCGTGGAACTTGTCAGCATTGACGGGGTTTTAGTGTAGTGTCCTGCTGAGAGAGCTGGGGGTGTTCAGCCTGGAAAGGGAGGAGACTCCAGGAAGGCCTTGGAGCCCCTTCTAGTGCATAAAGGGGCTCCAGGAGAGCTGGAGGGGGACTCGGGACAAGGAATGGAGGGACAGGACAAGGGGGAATGACTTCAAACTGCCCAAAGGGCAGGTTTAGATGGGATATTGGGAAGGAATTGTTGGCTGTGAGGGTGCTGAGGCCCTGGCCCAGGCTGCCCAGAGGAGCTGTGGCTGCCCCTGGATCCCTGGAAGTGTCCAAGGCCAGGTTGGAAAGGACTTGGAGCAACCTGGGATAGTGGAAGATGACCCTGCCCATGGCAGGGGGTGGAACGAGATGGTGTTTAAGGTCCCTTCCAACCCAGACTATTCTGTGATTCTGTGGTCCTACATCTCATTTGTATAGAGCTGTATTTGAAGTGCTGAGAACATGAGGCCATGTGTAGCACATGAGAATGCTGCTTCATCATCAGTTGGTGCTACAGTTTTTGAGGATCACTCTTCCTAGGCTTTAATGCTGTTTTAAGTGTGTTCCCTGCTCATGGTGTTAAGTGTGTTCCCTAACAGCTTTCTGAAGGCTTGATTTTCTTTACACAGAGTGTCAGTAGTTTCTTGGGAATGATCTGAGCTGAAATATCTCACCTCACCCTTAGCTTCTTAGCCTCTTTCTTGTGAACTGCACATCATAGAGCAAGGGCATTAAAATAAAAAAAAGTTCTGTGAAAATGATTAATTTGTTGACTGGTATTGTGTAAAAAAAGGGTTAAATTTAAATGGCTGTGATTCTTGAACCAAAGGCAAGTTAAAATTGGAGGGAAAAGCAGTCCCAGGAGAGTGAGTGTGCAATTGTTTTGGTTTTGATTCAGCCCCGTGGAGTGTACAAGGCAGTCAAACCCTAAAACTGCTGCCTCAGAGAATTGCTTCCCTGCAGGAAGGCAGTGAGTCATGGGTGCCACTGGTAGTTCATTAAGGATGTGTGTGTGGTGACTCCCATCCTTAGCCCTCCCTTCCAGGTGGAATTCACCGTGAAAAAATTCAGTGGCCGTGTCACATGTGAGAACCCATAATACTCCAGAGCTGCACATGACCCATTCCTGGTGTTTCTGTTGCTATTACTGTGCTCACCTCTGTTCGTACCCAGGCATGCCTGAGGATGCAGTTTGGGGGTCAGTCACGTTAAGGACTTTTCCGTTCCCATGCCTCAGAAACAGCTGTAATCCTCTGAAAGGCTGGAATTCTTGCGAGCTGGGAGAAAGGCTGGCTCAGCTGCGGAGCTGCCAAGTGGTGGAATGGAGCCCAGGGCTTTCTGAAAATAGGAGCCCCAAAGTTAAGCTTGTGCAGC